ATGATTATGAAAATGATTTAAAGCTAGAAGTGAAAAAATTTTGTGATAATTGCAAACAAGAATGCTTAGCAACATGTTGTGAGCATTGTATACGAAGATATTTAAAAGAAAATTTTTCAAATTGGACATCTGAAAATAATGAAATTGATAATTTAATAAAGAAATATCAGATGAAAGCACTTTCTCCTTTTACCACATTTGAGTGGATACCATATAATAAGTTACAAAATATCAAGTATTTAACTAAAGGTGGATGCTCTGAAATCTTTACAGCAATTTGGATTGATGGAATCTATGATGAATGGGATGTTAATAAACAAAAATTAAAAGGTTTGGTAGTAGCAAAGTCATACTCAAAAAATTAGTAAATGTGAAAGGTGCTAATAGAAGTTGGCTTGATGAGGTAGTGATTTAAAGTTTATCATAAGAATATGAATTTTTGCTTTTTTTTTAAAAAAAAAAATGATATCAATTGAATTCTCATTTATAGGCTGAAACTCAATTTATATTAAGCAGTAAATGGAAGAATTTTGTTTCTAGTTTTGGTCTTACTCAAAATCTTCAAAATAAAGATTATTTTCTTGTAATGTTTTTGTCTAAAATAACCTTAAGGAAATATTTACAATAATATTATTATCAACTTACATGAAAACAAAAGATTGATATAATTTTCTTTATAATTGAGGCAATTTTTCTTCTTCAAATGGAAAGTTTTATTCGTAGAGATTTACATTCAAGTAATATAATATATAAATACTTGGATAATTAGTGATTTTGGATTTTGTGACCCTATTGATAAACCATTAGAAAGTATATATGGTAATCTTTCCTACATAGCTCCTGAAGTTATATTTGAAAATGGATATACTTTTACATCAGATATTTATAGTATTGGTATGATTATGTGGGAAATTTCATCTGGACAACCACCTTTTACCAATTTTGATCATAATTATAATCTTGTAATGAAAATAGTAAATGATATGTGACCAAAAATAGTATTAGAAACACCAATAGAATATAAATATTTAATGATACAATGTTGGGATGCTGATCCATTAAAAAGACCAAATATTAGTATTCTTTATAATAAAATTAAGAAAATACAAAGTTTATATGATCAAAATCAAAATAAAGAAACTGGTATTACTTTGAATAATATACAATCAAATGGAAAATCTATTATTAGCTCTACGTTTATTAATCCATTAGTTAAAAAATTAAGTAAATATTATATTTTTAAAGATATACCTGAACCAAGAAATGCTAATGAAGGTAAGTTATTTATGATTATATGAAAATTAAATTTTATTTTAATTTATAAAAAACAAGCAGATTATTATTTATAAATTTTTAAAAATTAATATTTAATAATTTAATATTAATTTAATATAAAAAAAAGCTTATGATAGTAAGCAAAATAGTCTTAAAATTCCAGATAGTAAGTAATACATATTTATATATGATTTATAAAATATTTATAAATTAATTTGATTATCTTAAAAAAAATAAAAGAAATATTTAAAGATTATACTGAAAAGAATATTTCTACAACAATTATTGGTAAGAATAAATATTTGTTATTTTGTTTTAAAATATAATTTATATTTAAATATTATGTAATTAATATTAATAGATATGAATATTAGCAAATCAAAAAAGAATTCTTTATATTATGATAATGGTAATAAGTTATTTTATTTTAAAAAATAATTATTATATTTTATTATTATAATTTTATTACTAATAAAATAAAACTTAGTTTTTAAATTTGATATAGTTTTTAATTCTAATTTATTTAATGATTATAAATGATATATTTTAGGAATTAATTATATTAATAATGAAATTAGAATACATTATATACAAAAAAATTTAAGTGATGGTAAGAAATAAATAAATTTAATTAATTTATTATTAAACTTATAATTTAATCATTTTAAATTAATTAGATAATGAAGAAACTTATAATAATTCAAATTTACATTTAGAAGATCAAGATAATTTAGAAATTTCTGAAGAAAAAATTAATTAACATTTAATAATCTTTATAATTAAGTAATTTATTACATAATAAAATGTTTTTTAATTAATAATTAAAATAATGTATATTATTATTTTAATTTATATTATATTTATTTATTTATAAGATAGAAAAATAATGATTATATTTATAATAAACTTTAAATTTAAAAATTTATTTATAATATTATTAATATTAATACTTTAAATCAAATATAAAATATTATTTTTATAAATAAACTATATCAGAATCATAGTAAATGTGAAATATTTATTATAATACTGTTTTTTTAATTATAATTTTTAGATTATTTTAAAACTCAACCAATTTTTTTATTTTTGAGTTGCTGATATTTTATTTTAATTCAAATCCAATCTTGTTTAATAAAATAAAATGAATTATAAAAGTATATTAATTTATATAATTTATGTAACATTTAAATTATCCAATCTTAAGTTTAAAATCTAATTAAAAACTTATTTATTTTTAAACTTTGTAGAGTTTAATATATAACTTATTAATTTGCTTTATAATTAGCATTTTTTAATTTATTTTTTGATTATATTAATTAATAATAAAATATTAGTATTTTCTAAAAAATATAACTTATAATGTATAGCTTATCTAACTTTAATAAGGAATATTTTATGATATTTATTACTTTTATTAGTATATTTACCATTATTTTTTATTAAATAAATAATAATACACAATATTTTCAATTTATCAAACTTAAATTTCTATCAATATAATTAAGAATAATTTTAAATAATAAAATATTTACCTTTAAAGTTATAGGTATTATTAATTTTATATCTAATTAATTATCTAATTTAAAATTTAACTAAATATATTTTTGCCTTAAATGCTTTAACATAAATTAATTATTTTCTCAAACTGTTTTTTCTCAAATTTCAATTGCTCAACATAGATCTCTTTTAACTACAATTTAATAAATGATAATAAATGAAACACTTTTAGCAATAAACTAGATTTAAGCCATTAACAGCTTCTACCTGAAACAAATTTTTCATAATACAATTTGGTCATAGAATTCTTTAACTTTTTATTGGAATCTATTTTAAAACTCAATTATCTCTGTTGTAAAAATACATTCTCACCTAAAAATCACAAGCTCAAAACAGCCACTAAATCTTTTCACTATTTATAAAAATATTAAATCCTTACTTTTAGTATTATGCATTTTGAAAACCAGTTTATAAGAAAATAAACTCAACTCCAAATGGATTATATTATACAATAAGTTTCTTGATATTGCTCAATTCTCTAACCTTTACATCATTAAATTAATAGATGCCTACTTGTTGTTCTACTTAATTCTATCCTTTTAAAAGTTAATCTATTATTCTCAGAACTTCAAACTAAAGCTAAAATCCATAAACAAAAATTCAAAATAAAAAGTATTCAATAAGCTTTGGATCAAAGAATTGAAGATTTTACTAATAACCCTTCAAGAATGATTGATTCCATCCTTAAAAGAAAACTAAATTTTATTTTCTTGGATAGGTATATTGACAACTTAACTCTAGACAAAAACTTATATACTGATGCTTTAGATGTTAAAAAGGAAGTCGCTTGTCACTTCAAAAAATCACTAGAATATCATATAGAGAAACTCAACTGCCTGATAAATAGGCATTAACTTATCAACTTTTGGTAGATATTGATCTTCAAATTTATGCACAATTAGTTACTCCTCCTATAGCTGATGAATAATACTAAATTATTAATTGTCTTGTGAATGATAAAGCTTTAAGCCTATCAAAAATCTCTAACAAGAAGTTAAAACATCTTAGACCCTCAGCAAAAAGATTTTCTGGTATATAGTTTGTAAATGTTTACAAATCTCATCAATTTTAATATATTAGAATTTGACCTATCCCAAAGCTAAAACCTTGGGAATACAATCTTAAAACCTTATTTTCTTAAAAATAATTTCCACTTTTACAACGATAATTGCACGGTTAAGTTTTCGGGCAAATTATTGCAAATTTCTTTTTTAAAATATTTCACAAATATAAAGCATGGCATTCTTTCCCTTTCATACAATGCATTTGTACGTTCTTTTCCAAATTAAGATTTCGGGATTATGAGACGAAATGAAGTTCACATAGATTTTTTTTTTTACATTAGTTTATAAGATAACACAATATAATAAATTACGTTAAATTTATATTATAATTTGAAATAAGAGAATACATATCTTCACATAAAAATTAACACCATTAGGTACTAGTAAATATAATATTATAAATTACAAATCGTAATAACTACTTTCCTTGCAAGCTTTTTGCGACGTCTCTTATTTCGGCTGCTTCGATTGAAGAAGGTGAGATTTGTGGCAAGATAAACATCGAATATTCCCTTTGTTAGAGTTGCACTCTCAGAATACCTCATTATCTTTTTCAGAGAAAAAAGCAATATTGAGGAAGAGGAAGAAAGTGCAAATAGATACTAGATACTCTTTTTAATTATGATGAAAAAAAAAATCGAAGCATAATAGTAGGTTAATTTCAAAAAAAAAATGAAATGAAACATGAAATTTTGATTGGACAGAAACTAATGCATAGAAAAACAATAAGTAAAGATATATAATGTATTTTATCTTATTTTAGTGGTATTGTAGTGAACTTACGAAGACGCAAGGACTAATCTTCATTTATTCAAAAAACGATAAATGACGATGTTTCTAAAGTCCAGGAACGAGATTTACTAATATCGATGGAATCAATATCATTAATGATATTCGATTTACAATAAATTTGACACGTTTTTTTTTTATTTAGTTTATTATAAAACTAAATAATTAAAATAAAATAATTTAATTATAAGGCATCATTTAATGAATTACGAAAAATTAATCGTTCAAGTATTCAAAAAGTCATGAATAAAAAAAGTTTTGATGAGGATGTGCAACCAAAACTGAATACAAAATTTTATTGTTTAAGTTTTTTGTTCAACTCTGTGGAAATGGTGGACTACAAGAAGGATTTAAAAACATGTCATCCATTTGGAGTTTACTTGTAAATTTCACATAAATTTTATTTGTTTGTTCGAATGTAAAATTCTTCATTTAATTATTTTGAAAGGGTCAACCTTTGCATGTAATACAATCGGCATTTATATCTTTGAAACATTAAATTATAACATATAAAATAGTATTTCATTTCATATATTTTATTTTATATATATATTGTTTGAATGATGATGGAAAAGCATAAGCAAAAAGTCAAGTCATGAAGGCGGGTATAATAACGCAATTTGTTGTGTTACGCGGGTACTTGATTTATTGTAGACGTTTTAGGTTGATAAAAAATCTGTCTAAATATTGTGAATCTTGAACTTGATTATAGAAAGAAAAAAAGAAATACTTTTTATTTTATTGTGAGGAACTACTATTTGAATTTAATTACATATGAATTCACAGGGAAAAAGCCACAGTGGTTTCTAATTATTAATATTCTTAACAAACTAAATAATCCATCCTTTAATTTTAGTTGTTAGCTACTTGTGTAAATATTACACAATTTGAATAATTTTATTTGATCTATTGTTTTACTTAAAATTTTTTGACAAATGACAAAGTTGTAAAGGAAGACAAATAATGATTTTTCCTTAATAATAAATGGTCAAAATTCATTAGGTTCGGTTTATTTTAACCATATTTATAAGCGAACTTCTTTTTAAAATCTTTTACTTTATTATACTTGTTAAATTCTTTTCTTTTCTTTTCTTTCTTTTCTTTCTTTTTAGTCTCAATAAAATAAATCTTTTTTGGCTCATCCGAAATTTCATGAGTTAATAGCTCATCTTCATACCAGTCATACGCGCTATAAATTGGACGAAATAAAAACCGAAGATCGCGGCGGGGAGTAAGAAAATTATGATATAACCAAAACCTTGACCTTGACGTTTGTTTAGTTTGAGCATATTTCATTCTAGAATCAAAAATATTTTTTTTATCATCCAACCAAGATTTTAAATTCGACAAACGACCATGAGAAATTGACGTGTATTGATTAAGTTCCAAATCTAATTGTTCTTTCCAATAATATTTGTCACCATATTTGTTATAAAATGGCATAATATCAATTAGTTCCTGTGGATAATCCATAATGTCTCTATGAAATTTAATTTTTTAGCGTTTTGACTAATTCAAAATTTTCATTTTTTAAAAATATAATGCAAACACTTACGCCACAGTTTTCTCATTGAAACATTCAGAACAACATCTAACTCCAAATGCCCAATAAATCTTGCAATGCTTACTAATATTACAAATTTCACAACCTAGATTTGTTATTAATAATTCAACATAACGTTTTTCATTCATTCCTTTTGGTGGAGGCGACCATACATGCCCCATAAACGTTAAGCGAGATTTCTTCCATATTTGTTGGGTAGAAAAGGAATTTGGTGCACTTAGGTAACAATAGAATTTACGACATACTTTAGAAAGTTTGAATAAATCATTTGGTGATAAATAAGAGCAAAACTTGGCAAAGAGTTCAGGTGGGAGGTTTACAATCGGTGAGTTTATTGTGAGGGTGGGTGGCATTTCTAAAGGTTAAAAACGGGAAGAGGTGTACTTTTCGTTTCATTCGATCCATGTGGTTTATATAGAATCGTTTCACAATTTACGCCCATAATAATATGATTGCCACATGGCATTATTAGTTAATTAATAAAACACAAACAACACCTGTGGCATGTCAAATGATCTTTGAAAATCAATTTTTGTACTTGCTCGAAAAAATTGATTATTTTTCCTCAAGAAAGATTTATTATTAAATCAGATAATGCATGCGTTCACGGGACATTTATGTTAAGAGCCGTAATAGTGGTTTTTTTTTTTTTTTTTTTTTAAGGATAAGCGTTAAATAGAGAGAAATAGTTCTTTTTCTACGGATAAATTTTTTATAACGACAATGTTATAAAAAAAATTAAAAAAAAATATATATATATATTTTTTTTTATTTTTAGGGAAGGTACATTATTTCTCAAAGACATTATAAAAAATTACAAAAAAAAAAAAAAAATTAAATTTCTTCGCATCTCTGAGCAAATTTATAATGACACGTTTTTAATTTTTCAATAGCAGAGTTTAAAGAATTGAGATCATCCCTAGTAACTTCAAATGTATTGTCACCATTAACTTCAGGAGTGATCATTAATAATTTCTCTTCATACCTCATCAAAATTGCTTTCATTTTAGTTAATAGATGAGAAATGTCATGTAAATTATCCAAACTATCCTCGACAATCACAAGTTTTTCCTTAGCTTTATCGATATCAGCCAAGTATCGTTCATTATTGTAACAAAAGTTTTCGGCCTCACTTAATCCATTCTCAATATTACCTTCGATGTTATGATTATTTCCTTTTGCGTCAAGTATTAATCTATGAGATTTTTCTACTAATCGTCGAAGTTCCTTAATTTTGATTAATAATTTTTCCACCCTCTTCTTAAAATATTGGGTGTCACCTTTACGTTTCATGAATTCCATCATTGTTTCGATTTCTGTTTCAAATGATTCACATACTATCGAACATCTGTCAAACATATTACGTAATGAAGTATCTGCTGTTATCAATTTGTCTCGAAATTCATGTAAACTTGTTGATATCTGACAACCATGAAACTCAAACGCTGGGCTTGTTTGAATCGTACGTGCCACTTCACGGCATGTTATTGCATGTTCCATAATTACTTTAACAGCTAAAGAGGTATATATTAACAAAGTGAGAAGGAAAAGGAATTTTTTTTTTTTAAAAAAAAAGAAAGATCATTGAAATCATTTGTACCAGAGACGTCTAATTTGGCAATTTCATCAAAAACATTGATTGTTGCATCGGTAAATTTCCGAAAAAAAGCGGGTGATGGAGTTTTGCTAGGGTTGAACTATTATTTTTTTATTTTTATTTTTATTTTTTTTTTTATTTTTTTTTTTTTAGAAAAGAAAGAAAAAACATATCTATTAAAAGGAACAAAATTTATTGTAAAATTCGGTAAAATGCAAACGAAAACCTTTTTTTTTTCTTACAAGCCAAGCTATTTCGATAATTAAAATTAATAGCAATGAATTGAATATGAAACTACGGCAAGACATTGTAGTATTCCTTCTCTAATAAAAAGAATAAAAATTACAATGCAATAAATTACTAAGTTGAAATGATTTTTCACAGACCTCATGAATTTCCATATTATTTTTTTTTTTTTTAAAAAAAAAAAAAAAAAGGGAATAATTATAATTTCACTTTGATTGTGGTTGCTCAGATAATCATCCCTAAAAATGGAAATAACGGACTTGCATCATATGTTAGGTACAGCAATTGTCATTTGACACCTTTTTACAGTATAATCGCTTTTTTATTTTTTATTTTTATTTTTATTTTTATTTTTTTTTTTTTTTTTGTTTTTTACATGTACAGGAGCGTTAATTAAATATTTGAACACTAAAATTAAATTCACAAACATATTCGAAAGATTTTAAAAAATTTATTTTAATAAAACATCAATTATCCCATTTTCGGGTCTCTTTTTTTTGTATGCATAATCCTGCATGTTTGACCCTTCCCTTTTATGTTTTAGCACTATCGGTAAAGAAAGCATTTAATCTTAAAAGGGAAGGATCAAGGACAAAAAAATTTGATTGGTCAGTTATTGACGCAGGAAAATATAATATTGTTAAAAAGAATTTAACGCGATTTAATTCATAATCTAAGTTTGCTAATATATATACTCGGGGATTTACATAAATCTTAAGTAGAAATTTGTCTTTTGCTGTATTTGTAATGATAAGCTTTTGATTTTTCCACACCAAGTCTCAAGTATTTGAGATCTTCCTTTGTAATTTTGAATTTATCATATTCGATTTCACTAAAACCAGCAGAAACGTCCAACAATCTATCCTCATAGACCTCCAAAAATTTTCTCATTTTATCTAAATTAACGGCGGTAACATATAAATGTTGCAAAATATTTTCCACCATTACGAATTCTTGCTTGACTTTATCGATATCAACTGAATACGCCGAATTACGATCACAAATATACTTTTCCGCTTCCCTTAGCCCACCATAAATATAACCTTCAGTATCATGTCGCACAGCTTCCGCGTTTAAGACAGACATTTGGGCTTGTTCAACCAGTTGTCTATAATCTTTGATTTTCTTTCGTAATTCATCAAATTTATCTTTAAAATATTGATTATCGTCGACTTGTCGGATGTAGTTTGAATTCAATCGATGCATCATCGATTCAATTTCTTCATCAAACGATTGATATACTGATGAGCCCTTGTTATGCATATTTTGTAATGTGCGACTTGCTATTAATATCCTTTCTCCAAAATTACGAAGCCCCATTGCCATTTTCTTGCCATGACATCTGAATGCTGGACTTCTTTCGATCACATTTGCTACTCTACTACATGCTACCGTATGTTCTGTGATTGTATTCTCAGCTATATCATAAGGGAAAATAAGTTAAATTACACACATGAGAATAAACCTCTTTTTGAATAATTATTTACTTGGTATATCAAGACTGTTAATTTCTGCAAGGATATTATTGGTCGTATCAGCGAATTTTCGGATAAACGAAGGTGATTTTTGTAAAAGATCTTCCTAATTTTTTTTTTTTTTTTTTTTTTTTTTTTTTTTAAAAAAAAAAATAAACATTTACCTGTAAGGCTTATTGAAATATTAGTAAAAAGATAATAAAAAAAAAATTATACTTGCAATCGGAATCGCTACGAGAATCGAAATAATTAAAATAATTGCACTGATTAACGCTAACCCAAATTTCACATTACTTGAAACTTTATTAGATTTGATCTCGGCTATTTTATCATTATTGGCGTTAGGATTAAGATAATTATTAGAAGATGAACCGATTAATCCTTGTTGTTGCTGCGTATAAACTTGATTCTTTTTTTCTCGAAATTCTTGTTCATTAAAATCTTGAAATTTTTTACTCTAGGAAAAGGATGTGATATAAACGTTGTGCCACGAATAAAATTCATTTGAAAAATGTTTACATACGTTAGTGCTGGAGTTTGCCTTCTGTGTGATGAAAAAAAAAATTTCGTTGGATGTTAGGTTTCATTAAAAGTTCTTTTTGAAATAAAATCTAATATTGAATCAACGAACATAAATATCTTGAATAAATTTGTATCCAGTCATTTTTATTTAAAATTTTGCAAAAGGGAAAAAGAAGTTTTTCCGGACCATTATTATTTTTTGTATCTTGTAATACTAATATATATAATTAGTATATACAATGCCTATTAGAGTTAGTGGCTTTATGGTTTAATCAGCATGCATTATATAATACAAGAATGGGCGCATGCTTTTAACATTGAAACGATTGCCACACGTGAACTCTTTATTTCACTAAAATAGAGATTGAGAAAAAAATGTTACATGATTAAACAGAATCAGAAATGTAGATATCACTCAAAACGCTACACGTAAATTCTATATAGAGTTGTGCTTCCTTGTTGAACTCGTAATAATAATCTTTGATAAGTTTTACAAATTTATCATCTTCGATAATGCCGTCGGCAAACAATTTATCATGAGACCTTAAAATTATTTTCATTTGATGTGCTGATTTATGTAAATTTTCTAAATCCTTTCCAACATCTACGGGTTTTTTACTTATCAAACGTAGGTCTTCCATTAATTCCTCAATATTTTTGATGAAATGATTTAACCTTTCCCCAAAATATTGCACGTTACGTCTAAACTCCTCAATTTTTGTTTTTGAACTTTCCACATTTTGAAACCAATATTTGGATTTTTGAGAAGCATCAATTTCCGTGAGCACGGATGAACCTTTACTGTACAAGTTTCGTAATGATTCGTCTGTTTCCAGTGATTTCTTCCCAAAATCACGAAGTCTCGTATCAATGATGCTATCATTAGAATCAAACGCTCTTATTTGAATGATATTTGCTGTTGCAAGGCATTCGGCTACATCATCAAATGAAGTACGTTAACCAAAGGTGTAAAAACTAAACCGTTCTCATATCCTTAACATGCTCACCTGGAAAGCCAATCTCTTCAAAAATCTTACTTGCGGTAGAATCAATTTCTAAAAAACGTCCCGACTAGAATTTTTTTCAAAAATACATTTGAAGGAATCATCGGAATAACCAAAACGTAAAACAACTATAATATTATACTTACGAGAAAAACCACCGTGAAATCGGAAGAACTACAAAAAATAGCACCGACTTATAGGAACAAGGTGTATTATTTTGTTGTTGAGAAATTTTCTTTTTATTTCGACTACTAACTATTACTTCATTCTAAAAAGGGTTAAGAAAGCTGTTGTGAATAAAAAAAGAATAAACGTCGAACACCTTCGAAATTTGTAAATTTTAATCTCAAGTACCAACCCTGAAGTCAGTCATGATTACAAAGGTTATATTTTTTTTTTATTTTATTTTTTTTTTTTTTAAAGAAATAAAAAAAAAATTTAAAAAATACGAAACGAAAAATCCTAAATAAGCTTAATGCCTTGTACTACATTATGTAATACATTGATTAATATTTAGAAACCAACTTCTTTGTTTATCGTTAGTCAATGCTTTTTTGGTTTAATTTGATTTTACGCCAAGCATTTGCGTACACGTGACTCAACCAACATCAATGTTTCACCAACACGTCCTCTAAAAAATGGAATATACAATATATTAATATATCTATTGAAGAGCAACTTAAACGAATATAACAAATCCAAATATTGATATTTTCGTAATTATCTGTAAAAATATATTCGTCATATTACAACATTTTTATTTCAATATGTTTAATACCTTATAATAATTTAAATCTAATAAAGATATTCAGTTAAGTTTCTTATAACCAAATTAATGAAGAATTATTTGCTGAATTCGAATTTCTTATTATGTGTAAATTCTAGAGTTCGCAGAGTTTGGCGATGAATTTTTGTGCAGTTGGAGTCGGAGACGACGAATAGTCGACTTTGTAAACTAACAAATCAACTTCGCTGTTTTCAAATGACTGAGCTTAAAATATTGATATACCAATATCAGAAGAAATTATAATTTCGTCATTTCTATAAATAAGATAAAGGAGAAAATGACAAGACTGAGCTCCGAATGAAGCAGTAATGAAGAATTATACAAAATAATAAAAATAATAAACTTAAATTATTTAATTATTTCACCTCTTACAACTAATTCACTTTTATCAGATCATACACAAAAACATCGCTACGGAAGTAATTATTCAATTTGGAGAACAGTAACTTAAGAGAAGACACTCTGATATATATTTCCCTACTTTCTTGAAGAAATACTTGAATTTCACAACATTTAGTTATATAATAATTTGATTAGTACGTAATTATCGATAAGTTTCATCAAATGAACCGCTACGAGTACAAAACTTTGGAAACTTAAAGTCTATCTTTGAAGATTGATTTACTATTTACGGAAAAAGTAGCCGCTAACCAGCTAATATTCAAGTCCTTACGATGTTGTTCAAGCTTTAACCGGAGCTAGACCAATTGAAATAAGGTGAATGCACTCATTATAAATCTGAATCCTGCTGCGAATTTTAACTACTATAATGTCAAGAAAAGTATTCGTAAAAAGATAAAATGCCTTTCAACATTGCTGAACTTAAATAATATATAAACTAAGCATAAAGAAAATTTCTCATACAAACTATTAAAATTTTGATTAATAGTATGTCTTAATGAATTTTAGCTATGATTAAGTAAAAAAAAGGCTTAATTAAATACCAATTATTTAGTATAAAACTTGTGTTTAATAAATATATTATTAAACATTTTTTTTAATTTAAACTTTAAAATTATAAGTTTTTTAATAAATCAAGAAGTATTTAAAATTTGACGGCTTTCTATAGATCAATAAATTAATCTAGTTAAGTTAAAATTGAAACCTAACCTAATATTAAATTATAAATTTAACTATTTTAATCAAATATTTTATATCAATCTAATAGATTATATAAATTAATCTATATTTATTAAAGTTCTAGTCATTCTCTACTTTTCAAATTATTAATTTAGTTTTTTAATAATAATAAATATAATATTAAATTATAAAATTAAAAGTTTTAACTGCTTTACAAATTATAAAACTATTGTATTCTATATATTAATAGTAATTTTAATTATATTTTGGGTGAAACTCAAATTTGAAAATATTTTTGAGTTCTATATATTAATAGTAATTTTAATTATATTTTGTGTGAAACTCAAATTTGAAAATATTTTTGAGTTTAGGCAATTTAGGACAAATGGATGTAATTTAAAGGTAAAATGTAAAGTGAATTTTTTCAACAGATGAAACTTATAATTTATTTAATAAGTTTAGTCACACTTATTTATATAAAAATAAATCAAATTTATTTAGTAATATTAAAAGTTAAAAAAGTTTAAGCCAAGCTCAGGGGTTTAGCTCAAAATATTAATATATTTTATTTAGTTATATCATTATTAATATTACTATTATTTTTATTACTTTTTTCATAATCAGTTTCAATTATTATTTAAGAATATTATTTATTATCTAAATAAATAACTTAGTTTTAATTTTTGTAATTCATAAAATAAAAAATAATATAAAAATGTATTATTTTAATATATTTTATTAAACTTATTAAATTTTAAAAGATTTAATTTTAATTTTATTATAAATTCTAATTAAATAAAAAAATAACTTTATAATTATTAAAATAATTTAAAAATGAGAAATAATATTTGTATAATAGTTAATAAAAGGATTAATCATAAATAAAGCAATAATAATTAATGCATTCATATATAAATAATAATAATATATTTGATTAAATAAATATATTTAATAATATATCATATTATTAATATAAATTATTTAAAATTATTTTTATATATAAAAGTTTATTTATATAATTACAAACTGTTTTTATAATAATTGTTTTATATACAGTATTACTAAATAAATATTTAAAAATATTATAAAAATTAATATAATATTAATTGATTTCAATTATCTTTACCTATTTATAAATCTTTTATAAAATTAAAAATATTTATATATTAAATTAAAGAAATTTTTAATTAGTATATTTTATAAATATTATAATAATTACCAATACTTTAACTAATTTCTAAACTATTGATTTTATGATCTAATATTTTACTTAGTTTTTTAGTAAAATCAAATAAACAACTTATATAAAATATTTGTGAATGATCTTTGATATTACTTAAATGATTATTTTGATTTTGGTTTAATATTTATCTGCTTTATAAAAATCTATTATATCATTTTACTTTATAATCAAAATCTTTACTTTTAATATTTTTAATCCAATTCTCAGTAATTATTATAATTTTAAATGCTGTTGGTTTTTTTAAAGGATCTATATTCCAACAATTTTTCATTATATTTATATAACATTATGAAATATTTTTAATAATTTTAGAATGTTTACCTTTACAAATATCTATACTAAGTTGAAGTTTATGAGTTTCATTAATAAATAAAGAAATTCCTAATATTAATTTTCACAAAATTATGGAAAAACTATATATATCATTAGCTAAAGTATAATGCTATTCTCTTAAAATTTTAGAAGCTATAAATGGTAAAATACTATAAATATCATTTTTTTTAGATGTTTGATAATAATTTACAAGTTTACATAATCCTAAATTACTAATAAATAAAATCTTATTTTTAATATTTAAAATATTACTAAGATGAAAATCAGAATGAATAAGATTCTTTTGATATATTTCTTTAAGTCTAGAAATAATATTATTTAATTGTAATAATTTAATAATCCATTTATCTTTAATTATATTTGATAAATTTTTTCTTAAATTATTATTTTTTGCATATTTTATTATTATCATATAATCTAAAGTATTTGGATCTTAAGTAAATCCATATAATTGAATAAGATTTTTATCTGAATATATTTTTAATTGACTATAATATTCACAATGATGTTTCTACTAAAATAAAAATAAATTAATTTAAAAACTTATTATTTAAAATTATATATAATTATAAACTTATATTTCATTTAAAAATTTTTCATTTAAATTTGATGATTTATTAAAATTTTTAAGAATTATATCAATACTACCATTTCTAATCTATTCTTTCTTTTTATATTTATCAAATTTAATAAATCTATTTATCCAAATAGCTTTATATATAGTACTAAATCCTCCTTTATAAAAATACTCTAGTCCAATTAGAAAAACTTTGTTGAAATAAATTAGAATAACAATCTTTATACCATTTATATTCAGTATTATTTTTATTACAATTTAGACAAATCCAGCTGTTTATGACTAAATAATATAATTATATTATTTAGTCATAAACGGCTTAGATTAGGTTATTTAAGTAGGTAGCATTTATTTATAATGTGACCTACTTATTGTTAAACTGTTCCCTACTTATGACTAAATAGTTTAAATATGACTAAATAATTTAAAGTTAATAATCTAATTATGATTAAATAGTCTAACTAAATAACTTGTTTGTGACGATTTTGTATACCTGGTTGTTTTTCTTATTATATTTCTTTCCTTTGAAATTG